ACACTATGCCGAGGTTCCCACACCACAGTGCGTTCTCGGTAAGTATTAGCTGCATTAATGAATACACAGGGATCAATGTTCTTGCCTACATCTCTCTCTAAGATTGTTGTTTAATCACTTCCCAAAATTAAATGAAGAAACTCGAAGTACCTGGTGTGAGTCTGGCAATCTATAAAGACACTAAGAGACCACAGAAGAATGTCTAGTCCTGGAGGAGGAGGGGCAGATGCCTACAGAGACTGTGATGTCTGAGCTGAATTTGGAGGGAAGGGTAGCAATGTGCCATCAAGCAGCTACGAAGTCATATGAGAGTATGTTTCACACTGGATCAGTCATTTTATATATCTGTAACCTAGGGCACTTGGAGGGGAGCCATCGAATGATGCCAAGATGTAATAATAGCTTACTGGGAGGCAGCCACTGGGCCAATCCCTTTACTTGAATTCTATCCCAAAACTGTCTATACCAAAGTGGGTCCAGTTCTTGTCTCTGTTCACAGGTAAGAACACGACTTTCGTGGAGATCAGCAATTTGCTCAGGATGCACCTTCTAAATCTGAAGGTCATTTCGAAATTCAGTTCTTTGTGACTCCAAAGACCAGCTACTTCCCAGCATTAGCTCCACCGTATGCATTGAAAAAGTATTTGTCAACTATGGCAGAGGATCATGAATTCCAGGCCAGTTAGGGAGACCCTGCTTCAAAAACCATATTTGTTGTGCCTAATTACTCCTTTGTTCTCAAATATAATAAGAGGACATGATAAGGTTTCTCAGGTCTACAGTAAAATGAGAAATATTTAAGGCCACATAGAGAAATTTTCCATGAAGTTGCATGGTCATACCTTACAAAATACTTTATTCTGAACTCATGGTCTTCCTCTTTCCTGACATCATAATATTCCTCTTTGTAAAGTAGTGTTGATAGATAAGGTGAGTGACTTAAAAAATGTTCTTATCAAAGCTGAAAGTTGGCAATCACATGATACATCTTCAAACCTAGAGATATTCACTGCCATAGGTCATGAAGCTACCCTACCACATACATGCTATGCAACAGTATTTTATTGCTGTGAGCAATAGAAGGGCATATACATATTACATATGTATATGTGCACATATATATATATATATATATAGTAGCAATAACATTACAAAGTTTGGTTTTTATATGGTTTAATTCTTTATTAGCATAGAGGGGATGGCTGGTAGGCAGATGAGAGGTGAAGATGTGGGGATCATTAGAACGTGATCGTCAGAGTCCATCGGCAAGAGGGTGAGAAGCTGGAGCGAAGCCAAGGGAATGGAGAGATTTCAGGGCATTAGAGAGGCAGGCTTGGACGATCTGGTGACCCATGAGGCACTGCGTGTGCAGGAGGAAGACTCCAGCATCTTTCTTAGACTCACACCTTTGAAGGGGAGACATTTTAAGATTGTGTGTCCAGAGAAGAGTGGCATGATGAAGGAGGGGATAGATGTTGAGTGTTCTGGATTGAATATGGGATATCCCTACAAGTCATGTGTTGCCATATTTATTTGGTCCCCAGTTGTCAGGGCTATTGTGGAGATGTTGTTAATATCTTTGCGACATGGGGTCTAGCTGGCAGAGGTGGGCCACTAGGAGTTGGCCTTGAAGGCTACCTACTCCAGGTCCTAGCCTTGGTCTCTGCCTCCTGACTCACTGGGAGGGGGGAGAAGGGAGTTCTGCTGAACCCTCCTACTCCTACTGTGATGGATGAAGGCTCCTTGCTGCGCTGAGCCAAAACATCTCCCGCCTCCATTAAGTTACCTCTGCCAGGTATTGTGATAGGAAGAGTCACTAATAGAGTGAGTTTGGTTAGGACTTGTTTTGAGTTCAAAAACAATCAGATGAGCATGACTTTAACAGATTCTGTATTCCCAAACTTAAAAAAAAATATCCAATATAATCATGAAACTTGTCTTTGGTTGAAATAGTTCAGGCCTAAAATACAGGTTTTGCTACACAAAGAAAAATTTTGGTAAATATACAGATGCCACCATGGTTCCTCACCACATGCCTGTTACTATATGGTGATCATGGCTACATCTTATTGTGAAGAGGAATCAGAGAAGCAGTGAATTGGCACATTGTCAGGAAGGTTATTTTGGACCTATCTGAAAGACTGAAACAATGCCACAAAGTGCTTTGGGGTCCTTCACTGAAAGATGTCCAAGAGGAATTATTAATGTTGACTACGAAGAGAGAAATCTTTAGTTACCCAGAAAAGCTTGTGGACAAAAGATAACGACTTAGTGACTCAGAACCAGACCCAGCTGGCTGTACTTCTGAATTTCTCTGCTAGTGAATAGTAACAAATCAAACGCACCCTTTAAAAATATGAACACTTGGGGTGACAGCAGCTACCTGAAGACAGAAATGAATTGAACACAATATCCATCTTCAGACAATGAAATTCCCATTCCCTCCCCCCCACCCCCACCCCAATTAAAGGGAGGAATTCTGACCTGACAATCTGCCCTTCAGTATCTGAGACCCAGCTGAGGGCAGATCTAGTGACCTCCTCCTGAATAAAAAGGGGAAGGGACTGGGCAGTAAATTCCGTCCTGGCGAACATCAGCCCAGCAGTAAATCGGAACCCTCCCCGTGCCCTCTTTATTATCACATTCACAGCATGAAGTTATGAGCTTCCTCACAGCTCCTGCTATAAAAATGTGATGGATGGGAGGGACACCTCAGGGAGTTAATCTATTCTTCCATTAAATTTTACTTTAATTGGTCTGTGAGTCAATCAGAAACTCACTAGACAGTGAATTAAGAAAGAAAAGAATGAAATAGAAAAGGCTTTCTTTTGCAGTTACTATATTATAATGCAAGATTATTCTTCCATTGAAAAAAAGAGAGAGAGAGGAGACTGTTGGTCCACACAAAACAATCCCTGGCTCTGGACAGAGAATGAGAGGAAAAGAGGCAACCGTGAATCCTGCTCACTGGTGACATTAATACATATGACATTTACACACAGTCACATACACTCCACCAAGGAAAATCAAGCTTCTCAGGTCCCTCCTTAACTCCTACCATCAGCAATTAGGATGGAGGCGGGCAGAGAGAGAAAATGAATACAAAGATGCATAGGCTGTTGAGAACCTCTCATTGGCGATGAAACCCTGCCGTACAAAAGGTAAATGCTGAAGGCCAAGGCTGGACCGGCTGAAATGTTCATGGGTTCAGTTAGTAAAATGTTTGTGCTGTGTTTAAGGACATAATGGGCTCTGATGAAGATTCTTAGAATCTAATAATGGCCTCTCTGGACTTCATGTCTAATTAGTGGAATAAGGAGCGAGCCAGCTTGGAGCTGAACATTGCCTGAGATGAGGGAAAAAGGGTGGGGGGGAGGAGGTGGGGGGAGGCAAAGCTGGAAGAAAGAGAAACCAGAGGGAAGCAGAAGGAAAGGAGCAGCCAGAGCTTTCAAAACCGTCCTCCTGAGCGGACAGCTGAAGTTTATGCCTTGAAATATATGATAATAAGGTTTTATGGGAGTGAGCCCCAGGGACCTGAATGTCTCTCTGTAAACAACAGACTTCAGGGAAAAGCCAGGGTTTGAGTAATGTACTCAGTCTTGACTCATGATAAAAAAAAAAAAAAAAGGCAGAGAGCAGTGGAGACAGGATATAATTCCCTTTATTCTAACTGCAGAGCCCTGAGTTGCAAGAAATGCCCTATGAGGGCAAAGACGATTGACCACCACTGCTGAAATACAGTCATTCGGTGTTTGGACAAGCAGCCCAGGCTTCTCCAGCCTCTGAAACCCAAGGTTGTTTAAGCAGAAGCTGGCTATGTGTTGCCTACCACCCTTAATGCATGGACGATAGATGCCCGGAAACCAAAGGGTTTATCCTGCAGTGTGGCTGAGTGGCGTTGCTGGAGGGACACAGAGTGACTTTATCCTTCAGGCATGGACTGTTTATCCACCCTCCTGCCCTGCAAAGGGTTAATTCCAAAAGTGCCCTTGTTCCCAGAGGCCCACATTTCAGGCCCAGGGTACCTAAAGGATATCACCAGCTACACAGGAGGGTGGTTTCCTTTGGAGACCAGGGTCAGGTAGAGCTCAAAGGTAGCCTTAAGCGAGTACTAAATGATCCAAGTCCCTAGTGTACTGTGAGACAAAAATCAGGTTGCCTTTAAAATTCTTCATCCTCAAAGACAATGGCTCTGTCCTCTTTATAGAGATATAAACGTGAGGTCATGGGACAGTAAAGTACGGCTTCGATTGGCGTTAGTTCCACCTTTTATATTAAAAAGGTATTGTGTCCCATCACTCCAGGTCCAGGACCATAAGGGACCCTGTTTCTTGGTGGGAGGCGGTAATGTGAAAAGGTTACTTAGTCATCACTAGCCTCTAGCCATGCTGGAACACCACACATGGGGCTCCTCAAACAGGAAGTCAAAGCGAGGCCTGACCCCTGGATGAACTCGGTGCATTTTCGGGCAAGGGGCCTGATGAATCCCTCGGGACAGAGCTCTTCTGTGCCTGTTGTCTGTATATTCGAGTTTATCCCTCTGTGTGCATGCGTGGGAGGTGGGTGGTACGGAAGGGAAGGAGGGTGTGAAGGGCCTGGATAATTATGAAAATTAGATCTTTTTCAGCAGGCTTCAAGCTCAATTTGGGCTGACAGCTCATGAACAGATCATCTGAAGTCTTAATAGGCCAACGCTGGCTCAATAGTTGGGTGGTTAAATCTTGCACATTTGTGTCACAGCTGACACCAAAAGCAGCCCCAGATGCCTCCGTCGGCTGACGCAGATGAGCCTATACTTAACATCCTTCCTCTCCGGGGAGGGTTCCACAGGCACAACAAAACAAATCTCCCATCGCACTTAGAACTTCTGCCTGCTCAAGAAACATTCCAGAATTCTTTTCACAATCAGAGACCCAGTCGCAGAAACAGCCCACGATTAATGAGGCGGTTTAAAATATATTTAATATTGACATTTCCGAAATATTTCAGAACCCAGCAATAAGACATACTTTCCAACGTTTTTCTATTTCAAAACCAATTGGCTAGAAAAAAATGAGAGTTTTTTTTTTCTCTCCTCTTAGCGACTTGTCTCCAGAGTTCAGACTCCACTACCTTCTAAATTTTGATAGTCATTTTGCAAAAATGTCAAGGTTTCAAGGTTCTTGACACATCCTGAATTCTGAACGAATGTGCTTCCTGAATCTTCCTGATAGCGGCCTGAGGACCACAGGGGTCAGTGGGTTGGGGAAGCCGGCATTTCCTGCTTGGACAACCGTGCCAGATACCTCAGAAGCATTTTCTTGCTCGTATTCTCTGCTTCTCCTCGAAGTTTCCATCCAGGGGAAGGAATAAACCAGCGTCAGGAACTAACCTGCTCGGCATCTGGCTCTCAGTGAAAGCTCATCTGCCTCCCCCCTCGGGCTTCTTTAACTGAATTAGCTGTATTAAGTGCCTTGGTAGCCCAGGGAATGAACGAGGTGATCAGTGCCTGGGAAGGCATGTTAGCGGGGTATAATTCTGCCGGAGGAGAATGGACTCCCCGGCACATGGGCCTAAACTGCAGAGTAGCAGGGCCCTAAATCTCCGGTTGCAGATTTACAGCCTCCATTCTCCTTCTTTACTGCAAATACAATCCGGCAGTAATGGTCTAACACAGCAACACCATCACCGGCCGGCTGATGGCTGGCATAAAAGCAATGTCAACCAAAAACTATGAGTTTATAAAAGGGAACAAACCCTCAACAGTGACAAGAACATGGAACCTATTAACAATTTAAACACTCTTCATTTTTTATATCCCACCTTGAAGCTATTATTGCTGATAGAAAGCTGCTCGGTGGAGTTAACCACTGCAAGGGAGGGTTAGGAGCCAGCTTACCTCCAAAGACAAGAGGTGACATGGCTTGAATCATTTGCTGCTGTGGTCTGAACCGTTGCTAATAGAAACGCTGCTTGGTAACCTGTAGCTCAAGAGAGTCCCAGGAAGGTGCAGGTGTGATCAGCTTCCACTCTGTTCTCAGGAAGCCTGCTGGATAAACATGGGACTGGACTCATGCACGGGTCTACTGAACGCTACAAGGCTTGGGCCTGTACTCCGGGAACAACCTTAGCACATGTATTAGAGGAACTTCTTGGGCGGGGGGATATCAAGGCTCAGCTTTTGCATTAAGGTATTCAGTGTTCACATGAGGTTCTAACTGCAGTGACAGTACTCAGGCCTTGAAGGGACATTATCCTCAGAGAGTTCCACTTTGAGAATCACCTCTACCTGGGCTTTACTGTAAAGTGTAACTCGTCACACACTATTACCTTCCAGTCTTTAGGTAGCCAGATACAGAACTGTAACTAATCCATACAACTCAACTCCTGTGTCTTCATTTAAAAATATTAAATATTACTGTGGAATTCTCTGGAGGTGCTCAGGCCACCTTCTCCTGTTTTTACTCCCCTCCCTTGGTAAAAATGAAAATAGTTTTGTTTTTTTTCCAAGGCAGGGTTTCTTTGTGTAGCTTTGGCTGTCCTGGAACTTGCTCTGTAGATCAAGCTGGCCTTGAACTCACAGAGATCCACCTACCTCTGCCTCCTGAGTGCTGGGATTAAAAGTGTGTACCACCACTACCTGGCTGAAGATAGGATCTAAAAGGTGACACATAAGCTCATTATTGGGTGATTTACCCTCCAACAAAAGTTTCCCCTTTCTATTCTGTAAATCAGACAAACTAATGGCAACATAAAAGTTGTCCCTCTGTAATTCTAAAATGTAAAATTTGGCAAACAGTTCATGTTTTTAGACACAGGATCTTAAAAAGGAAAGAAATCCTGGTTTTGCAAAAGGGAAAAAAAATCCATATTGAACAGATTCATAGATATCCACTCAAATATTGCCACCGGAGTCAAAGTCCTTGGTTTGTGTATATCATGCTGATTATTTGAACAATTTAATACAAAATTTCATCTGTACTAATAGGCCTAGGGGAAGCACAAATAAAACCAAGGAAAGATACTCATTCTGTAGTAAAAAACCATTAATATACAGAAAACACAGGTGTCAGCGATGCGTGAGCGATGTATTGTAAGACAATTCCTAAAGTTTTGGCACTTTCAGAAATGAATGGCCATCTCTAGACTCTCTTAACCTGGACTGCTATAAGGGAGGGGATCATTTCACCACGCTTATGTTACATGTTACAACAGTTCTGATCCCAGCAGACACTGCATCCGTTGGCTTTAAGGGCCTCCTTCTGAAGGAGAAAAAGTTGAGAGGCAGACAAGATACAAGGAACTAACTAAATGACCGTTATTTTTTCTCCCCAGCAGGCAAGAAGTCAAGCTAGCATTGCTCTGGCTAGAACAGGGTTAGACAATGCTTAGCCTAACGGCCCGCAGTGACCAGAATTAATATGGCTGCGCTTTCACTGTGGTTAGCAGTTAAGGAGGTTAGCAGGATGCGGGGCTGCTTTCCTGGACCTACACCATCAACGCCAACGAAGCCTTTCTCCAGCCTGAGTCATCACCGTAAATACTGCCCCGTCCCCACATTCCAGTAACAAAGTCTTTCCTTCCTCCTCGCTCCGAAACAAAGGGGACAAGAGCGCGTGTTGGGTGGGAACATCTTGAAATAAGCTATCATTCCCCAAATGGAAGGAAGTCGCAGGGGAGACTGACGCCATAAAGGCTGTTCTAGCCTATTGAAACCAGCAGATGGGGTCGTAAACACTTCCTCCTCCGCGCTCACAGTCGCCAGGGCAGCTTCATCTTCAGCTGTAGCTTCCTGTCAGGTCATAAATACCTCTCACTCAAGCCCCACTCACAGCTGGGCCTTGCCAGGCAGGTTTACTTCCTGCTAAGGGTTCATTGCAGCCAACAGAAGTGGTTGCGGAGGAGAAAGGAAGGCGCTGCTGCTGATGGCAGTTACGCGTATTAGAGGAAGCTTGGGAACCCCAAAGAAGGGGTTTGGCTGGACCAAATGCTTAGCAACAGCCAGGAAGATGCACTTAAGAGGAAGATGCTGCCCCAGGGAACACGGCTCACGGAATTTGTTTAAGATGACACATGCAAACACAGTCGAAGAGCTGAAGGGTGCCCTGGGCTTTTGTGCTTGCTACTAGAGCAGCGTTTCTCAACCCGTGGGTGGCGACCCCCTGGGGGTCGCGTTTCAGATATTTCACATTACGATTTATAACAGTAGCAAAAATATAGTTACGAAGTGGCAGCGAAATAATTGTATGGTTGGGGGTCACCACAACGTGAGGAACTGTATTAAAGGGTCTCAGTGTTAGGAGGGTTGAGAACCACTGCTCCAGAGTGTCCCTCAAGGGTGTGTGGGTTCCCCTCATTGGCCTTTGGTTCTGGATCCTGTACCCTCAGCACAAATAGTGGGAATGGAAGGTGGGCATAGTTCCCACATAAAGCCCTTTGCTTACCAGGGCTAGAGGAAGAATGTACCCTTCACTTTCAGAATTTGGGCACCGGAAGGAGGTGTGGTCCCTGACTCCCTTTCTTCCTGGAGAGCAGCTTCGTTCTTGTGAACACACCTGCCCAAGGGATTACTGGCAGCTCTGAGAATCTGACATGGTAGGAACCCAGAAGATGGTGACTGCTGCCCTCTTCCACTTGGCTACAGTAACTGCCCTCTTGCATTGTAGGGATATTTACCATTTTCCAAAAACAATGGTAGTGTTTATAAAACCTAACCTACGATCTGATTTAAATTTTTTAAAAATTTTATTATCACATTTATTTATCTATTATTTATTTATTTATGGAGTGGCTGTCAGAGGACAACTTGAGGGAGCTGTTTTCTCCTCCCATGTGAATTTCCAGGGTCAAAGTCAGGTTGCTTGGCAACCTTTACTCGCTGAGCCATTTCACTGGCCCTTGTCCTACTATTCTTGAGATAGGCTCTTGCTATGTAGCCCATAGACCAGGCTAGCCCCAAACTTACTTTGTAGCCCAGACTGACTTCAAACTCATGATGATCCTCCTGTTTCCATTTCCCAAGTGCTGGAACTACAACCATACAGTACTATGTCCAGCTTCTTATTTAATTTTAATACACACACATATGCATATATATACATACATACATATGAATTCACACATACATATACATATACAATATATTTATATTTATATTTATATTTATATTTATATTTATATTTATATTTATATTTATATTTATATATATGTTGCCGTGTTGAGCATTGAACCCAGGCATTGTGCTTGCTAGGTAGGCATTCTACTACTGAGCTAAAGTCTTGGCTTTAAATTATTTTCTAAAAGCAGCATTTTTTGAATACATTTTTTCGAGACAGGGTCTTGCTATGTGGTCCAGGTTGCCCCCTCACTCATGATCCTCCTGCCTCAGCTGCCTGAGGGCTAAGATTACAGATACGTTTGTTCTACTCTGCCTGGCTGTATGAACACATTCTGATAAAGTAGTTATTACTTATTTTCACTTTTTATTTGTTTTACTTTTTTATTACACCTGGTTACATAAGGCCATTTCCATGCACATGTGTAATGTACTTTCCGTGTATTTCCTTCTCTGCCCCCACCCCCCACTCCAAAGACCTCTTAAGGAGTAGTGACAGTGGCAAGCTGTTGTTGATTATAAATAAGTTTTTTGGTCAGACAGGATTAAAGTGCCTTGGTTATATTTTGACAATGATTGATGTGCACTAGTTTGGTTGATTTAATCTTTTGGTTTTCATGTGTTCTTTTAGTTACCATGGAGACTTAGAAAGCTTTTCGGTTAGCATGTGTATCAATTCTGAGTTGTATCATGATAACTCCATGCAGGTATATAATACATTTGATCACAACCACCCCACTACCCTCTGTCCCCTCCTTAGTTGGTCCCCTCCTTCTTCCCAAACAGTCCTCTCTTCCTTCATGCCTTTTAAGAGAGTCTCAGGCAGGTGAGATGGCCCAGCAGGTGAAGGTGCTTGCCACCAAGCCTGACGACCCAAGTTCTGTCTCTGGAACTCACACAGTGGAAGGAGACAACCAACTTCTGAAAGTTGCCCTCTGACCTCCACACTCACACTGTAGAGCATGCGTAGGTTCACGTGTGCACCTCCCCCCCCAATAAATACAATAAATATTTAAAAGTTCAGCCATACGTGTGAGAGAAAATGTGCTATGGACATTTCCGAGTCTAGCTTATTTCACTTAGCACAGTTCCATACTTTGTGACTTTAAAGAAAAAAATAAAGGTGGCATCAAGTTTACTCTGTTTCTTATTCTTTTTCTCAAATTCACTATGGTAATTATAGCAGATAGGTTTGACTCCCAGCCCTGATTGACACTTTACAGTCATGTGACTTTGGGAAAGTCACCCCTCTGTGCTTCCATGTTCTCATCTATACACCTGCTACAGTGACACCCCCTTTGTCGTGTAGCTCACTGAGAGTCGAGGCCACCATCAGGGTTGTGCACACCTTTAACTTTGTACAGAAAAGAAGGCTTAGGCCATTCAGGCATCTGAATGCTCTTGAAAGCCAAAGACACACAGTATGTTCTTGAGCGATGTTCTATTAAGCGAACATCAGACCTCAGACGGTCACTCCGTAAGTTAGGCTAGCTTTCCCTCACAGTTCCCTCCCTCCTCCTCCGAGAGTCACCCTTGCAAGACTAGACTGGTTGGTGCTCCCTGAACACACCTTGCATTTCTCCATGTTGTCTCTTTGCGGACACAGCCCCATTGCTCTGGAACCTTCCATTCCCACTTCCAGCCTCCTCTGTCTGCCAGCGAAAGGGTATCCTAGCACACATTCTTTATTCATCTTATCCTTCAAGAGGCAATTGCTCAGTGGGCAAAGTGCTCTGTACAGACTAGAGGACCTGAGTTGGGTGCCCAGCATCCATGCAGAAATTTGGGCACAGCTGCACACATCTGTAGTCCCGGCCTTGGTGGGGCAGCAATAGCTAGTCTAGTGGATTTGGTGAGCTCCTGGTTCAGTGAGGGATCCTGCCTCAAAAAATGGGAGCAATTGAGAAAGATGTCCGATGCCAACCCTGACTGCCAGGCAGAGAGAGAGAGAATCAAGCTTTTCTTTTTACTAAGGCCTGTAGAGGTAAGGCTATTTGCCCAAAGACACCAAGCTGTCACTTAGACCAATGTGTGGGGCTCCAGGATGAATTGCATAGCCTTCTGATCCTCCTCATGGCTCAATCTGCATTGGCTGGCCTCTCCAGAGCTGTGGTAGTACCTATATCACACAGCCTTCTGAATTAGTCCTTTGAATTCATCTTAGAGTCTCTCCCAGCCACATCTTGTATTCTTGACAGAGTGCTTAGAACAGAGCCTGTAACCAGGAAACACTTGGTAAATATTTGCTGAATTAACGTGCAAATGTGAACAAAGAAGACATTAACCTTTCCCATCCCATGGACTCAGACTTTCTACAGCTCAAAGGTCTTCCAGCTATCTGAATCGAACCATGAATGCAAGTGCAAAATAAAAACAAAATGGTTCTGTGTCTGCAGAACAGCCTGGAAAAAAATAGGATACACTCCTAGGAATTCCGCTATATTACAAAGGTTTCTGAGCACTCTCCACGGGCTTTTCACTGCAAGGCATGCACAAGAGACCCTGCACCCGTTTTTGAGGAACCAAGGTGACCGAAATCATGCCTTCGATCACCTAGACTGTCTTGGGAAGAAAGAACTGTATACGACACAGCTAGAGATCACTAAGCACCACAGAAGCACAAGCCCGCTATTGATATCAGACAGCGTGAAAAAGATACGCTAAGGCCGCGCCAGGGCTGTGCCGACACCAGGGAGCAGGTCTGGTGTTGTCTTTTATGGGCTTCACTTTGCAAAAGAAACCCAGTGTTTCTGACGTCTCATCCTCTGTCATTCATTTACTTTGCTCCATCATTTAGGAAAGGTTTCTCTTTTCCCCCATGACAGTTTTAGTGACCACTCTGCACCCGCCCAAAGAGCGCCAACTACCCCTGTGCTTTTCCATCTACAGCCGGACAGGGCAGTACCATAGGAGGCGTTTTTAACTTCTTACAAAGTGCTTTCATCTCCTTTCCCTTCCAACCAAGTCAGGAATGACGTGTCCAGTGCCAGCTGGATGCTGTCAGTGGGCACATGGGGCACAGCAGCCATCCTTCAGGGTTTTTTTTTGTTTTTGTTTTCTCTGTGTAGTTTTGGTGCCTGTTCTGGAACTCACTCTGTAGCCCAGGCTGGCCTCGAACTCACAGAGATCCACCTGGCTCCGCCTCCCAAGTGCTGGGATTAAAGGGGTGCATCACCACCACCCGGCCATCCTTCAGTGTCACAGGGTAGTTCTACTTTATTCCTGGAATCTCTCCTCATGAATTTCCCCAGTGGTGGAAATCTGTTATAATATCGTCCTTTATCATGCTAATCACAATCTCTAATTGTTATTTATTGGTTTAATTCTTTATTATCAGCTTTCCCAATAGGATGCAAAAGGCCTCAGGTGTCTTGTTCCTTCACAGTGGCCATCCACAAAGAGGTCACTCAAAGAATCAAGAACGTCAGTGGTGGTACACACCTTTGATCCCAGCACTTGGGAGGCAGAGGCAGGTGGATCTCTGTGAGTTCCAGGACAGCCAGGACTACATA